ACAAAAGATGCTCCTAGTGTTCTTATCACTTAGGGAATTACAAGGATTTTGGGAGCTGTGTGTCAGGAACCAGGAGGAGACACATACACACACACACACACACTCTTCCATTACCTCATAGGAAATGATGATCCCTTCAATAAATGGTTTTGGGAAAACTTGACAGAAAAATGCAAGAGAATGGAAATTAACCAGTATCTTACACCATATACAAAAATTAACTCAAAATGGATCAAAGACTTGAATGTAAGACCTGAAACCATAAAACTCCTAGAAAAAAACACAGAGTTCCTTGACATCAGTATCGGTGATGAGTTTTTGGATTTGATACCAAAAGTAAAGGTAACAAAAGTAAAAATAAACAAATGGGACTACATTAAACTAAAAAGTTTTTGCACAGCAGAGAAAACCATCAACAAAATGAAAAGGCAATTTACCAAATGGGAGAAAATATTTGCAAATCATGTATCTGATAAGGGATTAATACCCAAAATAGATAAAGAACTCATACAACTCAGGAGCAAAAAACCCAAACAATCTGATAAAAAAAAATGGGCAAAAGATCTGGACAGGCATTTTTCCAAAGAAGACATACAGATGGCCAACAGGTATATGAAAAGGTACTCAACATCACTAATCAGGGAAATGCAAAGCAAATCACCATGAGATATTACCTCACACCTGTTGGAAAGGCTATAATCAAAAGACAAGAAATAACACCCACTGACAAAGATGTGGAGAAAATATAGAACTTATTTTTGGCTCAGGTGCTTTTAAACTTGCCATGCATCAGAAATCCCCTGGATGGCTGTCAAAACAGGCTGTTAAGACAGTTAATAATTCCGTAAATCTTGGGTAGAGCCCAATAATTTGCATTTCTAATAAATTCCCAGATGATGCTGACACTGGCAGTTCAGGGACCAAACTATGAAAACCACTGTTCTAGTGAAAGGAAGACAAATACTATACTATAAACATCAGAAATACATTAAGTGTCTAGTACATTAGAAGATAAGTGCTGGAGGGGCGCCTGGGTGGCTCAGTCGGTTAAGCGTCCAACTTCAGCTCGAGGTCGCGATAAATGCTGGGTCATTGATTTAGAGGCAGAGTGTGGGCGGGCTCTGTGATATGGCTCAGAGCCTGGAGCCCTGCCAGGATTCTGTCTCCCCTCTCTCTGCCCCTCCCCCATTCATGCTCTGTGTCTCTCTGTCTCAAAAATAAATAAAAAACATAAAAAAAAAAAAAAAGAAGAAGATAAGTGCTGGAGCATCTGGGTGGCTCAGTCGGTTGAGCATTCGACCTCAGCTCGAGTCATCGTCTCATAGTTCATAAGTTTGAGCCCTGTGTCGGGCTCTGTGCTGACAGCTCAGAACCTGGAGCCTGCTTTGGATTCTTTGTCTCCCTTTCTCTCTGCCCCTCCTCCACTCCCTCCCTCCCTCTCCCTCCCTCCCTCTCTCTAAAATAAATAAACATTAAAAAAAATTTAAAAAAAAAGATGATAAGTGCTCTGGGAAAAAAGAGAAAGTAGGGCAAAACAACAGCTGCATACAGAGCTGGTATTCTTATGTTTTATTTAAATAAAACTCCCATTTCCTATATAATAGTAACAATGGTGAATGGCTCATGCCAGGCAATATTCATTCTATGGGCTTTACATATATTAACTAATTTAATCCAACAAGACCCCTATGAAGTAAATACGACGATTTACCCCATTTTGCAGGGAGAAACTAGTTAGGTTGAAGTAAGTTGTCCAAGGTCACACAGCTACTAAGAGATGGATCCTGGATGTGAGCCCAGGCAGTCTGGCTCTAGAATCATTGCTGTTAAATATTATAGCATACTGCTTCCCAATTCACAGATCTTCTTCATTAATGTTATTTCTTTTTCTTTAATGTTTATTTTTATTTGAGAGAGAGAGAAAGAAAGAGAGAGAGAATGCGCGCATGGGAGCGAGCAGGGGAGGAGCCGAAGTAGGCTCCAGGCTCCAAGCTCTCAGCACAGTACTATGCTCAAACCCATGAACTGTGAGACCATGACCTGAGCTTAACCAACTGAGCCACCCAGGCACCCCATTAATGTTATTTTTAGTGGCAGGAGAAGAAATATCTTGTCAGGCTAGACTGGACATACATTATCATCTCTATTCCATAAGCACACTTGATGCTTTCTTTCATCTACAACCTACTTTTATATTTCTTATTTAAGTTCATCATTCACCCAAATAACCAAGTGAGAAAATGCAGACACCCTTGAATCTGTCTCTCACTCCCCATGTCCGATCTTAATTTCTGCCTCAGAAATTGGATTTAGGACTCTCTAGATTCCCATGTTACCCAGATAATTGCCACAAAGGCTCCTAGTATGGTCCCCTATATCCAGATTCTTGTTTCTCTTTCATCCTCCACTCAGCCACCAGCATTCTCCTTCTAAAGTAAAATCTGACCATATTAGCCAGCTGCTTAAAATCCTTCACCGATTCTTCGTATCAAGCCCAAATGTCTTAATGTGATATAAAGTCCCTTCACAATCTGGCTGTGTCTCACTTTCCTGATCTACTATTAATCTCCCACACATACCCTAAGCTCCATTCATGGTTCTAAGTATTTGATTTTCTGTTCTGTTATTGCCTCTTCCCATCTCCCTCTGGCAAACTCCCACTCAACCCCTTAATACTTAGTTCTCCTTTCTGCTTCCCTCCCCTAACACACAAGTCAACTTTTTCTTTATGGTCTCAAAACTGTCTTAGGACCAATCACACACTTTGTTGTAAATTTAGTCCCATTAAGGCAAGAGCTCTTGAAACTCCTAGGGTCCAAGACAGTGACTGATACACAGTAATTCTGAAAGAGTTATTAAAAACTGATTAAGTTCAATTACAGAGCATAAGCTAAATTCAAGAGCTGTTATGTACATTATTCAGAACCTAATAATTTATGATGGAAATTAAAGCTCTGGAAAGCTCATGAAGTAATCTCAGAACTAGGAAAAAAGGATTCAGAGATAAGACACAGTGTGTTTGCCCAACTAAATTCTATTTATTCAACAAATATTTATTGAGCAGTATGAGTAAAGTAGCGAACAGAGATGGAAAATTGTTGAAATTCGTATTATAACCTATAGATACGTGTACACTATATTTACTTACCCATTAAACAACTAAGTCCGCTACCAGCAACTTGTATTAAGAGTATTTTGTGGGGAGCCTGGGTGGCTCAGTCGGTTGACTGTCCGACTTCAGCTCAGGTCATGATCTCATGGTTCGTGAGTTTGAGCCCCGCATCGGGCTCTGTGCTGATGGCCTGGAGCCTGCTTCAGATTCTCTGGAGCCTGCTTCAGAGCCTGGAGCCTGCTTAAGATTCTGTGTCTCCCTCTCTCTCTGCCCCACCCCCACTCGTGCTCTCTGTCTCTGTCTCTCAAAAATAAATAAATATTTAAAAAAAAAAGAGTATTTTGTGCTTGGTTAGGTATTCACACCTTTTTGATTATCTTTGCAGCAATGAGAAAGTTAGGTAGATGATAAAGGCAAATAGAACTCAGTTTTCTATTTTTCAAAATGGAATGCCCTTTTGCACTATTTACGCTTCCAGAAACCACCACTGCAAAATTTAATTCAGCACTGGGCTGCAAAAAATGGTCTATTTTTCAACCATGTAAATCAGATCCCATCACTCTTTTGCTCAATACTCTGTAAGTGCATCCCATCAGATTTAGAAAAAGGTGCAAATCTTTCACTGTGCTCTACAAGGCCACACGTGACCTGGCCCTGCGTAACTCTTTTTACCCTCATCTGCTACCACTGTCTCCTTTGCTCATTTCACTGGCAAATGCTGGCCTTCTTGCTCTTCCTAGAAGAGCTCATTTCTGTTTAAGAACCTTTGCAACGCTTACCAAGCTCATTGTGCTTAAGGAAACTTCGGAATACTATTCTTTTCTCCTCACACTCACTTCTCCCAAATTTTCACATGCTGGACTCCCTTCATTCAAGTCTCTGCTCAAATGGCACCTTCTCAAAGAAGACTTTCACAGCCACCCTGTTTACTATTAGAGTTCTCCATTCCTTTGCCCTGCATAACTCTTCTCTTAATATTTATATATTACCAGGGACCCACTAGAACAAAGATTTTAAGTCTCCTCACTGCAATAATCTGCAATACTACCAGCATTTAGGGGAGTGCCTGGCACACAGCAGCCTCTCCCAATAAATATGTTTAACATTCTCTGGCATTCTGACCAGAGTTATTCAATTCATATGACCTCAGGAAACTCACAGAGCAAACACTCAAGCTCTGACCCTTAGTAAAAACTACAAAATAAAGTCTTATCAAGTCTTGCCATCAAGACGTATTTGTTCTGAGTGGCAAAGAGCTGTGACAGGTCTTCCTAGAGATTGTACTGGAAAACTAACTCCTCCAAGCAAAGCTTGCAGCAACCTGAATTTTGAAGTCAAATGACAGAAAGTTCGGAAGGGGACCACACCTAAACCCACAATCCTGATTTTTAAAGACCACTTCCCCCACAAAATCTGATCATTTACCAACTCCAAAATTATGTTTCCTTTGGCTTCTTGGCCTTTTTGGTGCTACGGATCCTTTGTCAGTCTGGTGAAAACTATGGATTTCTCTTGAGAATAATGCTCTAAAATTCATAAAGCAAAATACACAGACAGCTACAAAAGAAACCAATTTTACTGAAATACATGGACACAGACTTAAGGTCTCCTATGATCTTCTTCCACGGTGAAAATGACACAAGAAAATTCTGACGGCTACAGTAGTAAGAGAATCCCAAAGAGACGACACTCCGAGGTCCAACCCTGAGCACCCTCAAGGAGCAGCAGGGAAATGCTGGGCGCCGAGACCCAGCCAACCCTAGGGGGCGTGTCTGAGGATGCGCAGCGGAGGGAAGAGGGACCCGATCTGAGAAGGGGGTAGGGAGCTCGTATTCCCAGAGCGCGCAAGGGGCCGAGTTCCCCACGGCGCGTCCCACCCTCGTCTCACCTGTCCCCGCTGTCCCCAGGAGCCGCTCCGGCACCCCTCGCAGGTCTTCATGGAGGCCGCGGAAGATCTCGTGAAGTTTCTCGAAATGCTCCGAAGAGGCAGCGGAGGTGGCCATGGCGCAGGCCGCACTCGAGCAGCGGCCACCGAGATTTTGGGCACTGGCCCCGCTCCTATCCCGGCGGTCAGCCACCCAGTCCCGCAGGCATCACGGCGACCGCCGCCACCACCGCCGGGGACGAGGCGCTTCCGGGGACGCGGCGGGGTCCTCCCGAGCCGGAACGCCCACCCCCTTCATACCGTCACTGAGGGAGCGGCGGGCGCGAAAGCCTGATGGGAAGTCTGGTGGGCTGCCCGCCTGGGCGATTCCCGGGAGGGTGGTGGTGCATCGGAGCGAGCGGAGTCCTGAAGCCCCGGAAATACCCAGTTCGGGGTTGGGGAGAGCGCCACAACGGAAGGGACTGTGGGGGACCCGCGGGACGGGCAGCGCGACCGCCTGTCTCCAGGGCCCCGCCTTCCGGTGAGGGGCGGTCGCTGCAGTGCATGCCGGGGACTGTAGTTCGGCGTGGAAGCCACTCGGACTCCGAAGTCACGCGCTGGCGGGGGCGGTGGTTCTGTCAACACTACAGGCCCAGTGGGTGGTGCTGACAAGCAGTAGTTTGGTATCCGTAAGCGTTTGGAAATCATCTTCGCTATCATCTCCCCGTCTGGCGGCTCTCATTTCCTCAGTTCGCGTCCTGACTAAACATTAGCTTTCAGCCCTCAAGAGAGAGCTGGGGCAGGTTCCTTGCTTGCCCTGCAGCGGTAAAAAACAAAACAAAAAGAATCTTTTATTGGAGAGGTCAAACGCCCAGAGCCATATGCTTTCAGAAATAGTTCCTAGGCAGTGACTCCCCAAATACGCTCGCAGCCTCTAGTCTCTGTGCTCGCCTGGTGCATTCATTCACTCAGCAGGTATTTTTTAATGTTTATTTTTGAGAGAGAGAGACATAGAGCGTAAGTGGCGGAGGGCCAGAGAGAGACACAGAAACCCAAGCAGGCTCCAGGCTCCGAGCTGTGAGCACAGAGCCCAATGCGGGGCTGGAACTCACGGACGAGGAGATCACGACCTGAGTAAAAGTCAGAGGCTTAACTGACTGAGCCACCCAAGTGCCCCTCAGCAGGTATTTGTTAATGTTCAGCATGTCATTATGCCGTATCTGGGCATATGTTGGTGAATAAAAAATTCACTCTCTGTGCTTGGTTATTTCATAACGTGGTGAGCAAGGCGGACTCTGCTTCATCAGGTCTCTTTCCCACTACCTGTAATGTGTTAACAGTGACAAAGTCCTATTCTGCAACGTGGGTTTTCATGGTTCCATGGCAGGGAATTTCTGTTTTCAACTTATTTCATGATTTTCCTATCAAAGCCCTTTCTGAAATGTTTGCTTGGCAGCCCAATATATAAAACTTCCCAAACATATTAAACGATGTATGACTGTTAAGTAATTTGATGATTCATATATCTCCTGGAACTTTATTTTTATCAGACTGATTCATGACCACTGATTCAACAAATGCATTGAGCTCTTAATGTTCATTGAATATAGAGATAGCAAAATCTGAGGTTGTTAGTGGAAGTGTAATGTGATTAAGTCCCACAACTCTGTTCTAGAAAGGACAGGTGCAAAAGGGGGACATAATAGCCTGAGATGGAAAAAAATGTTTGAAAAGCATCACAAAAGCAGAAAATGGGTGAATGAATAATCAAATTATCACACAACCAAAGTTAATGGCATTTCAATGGAGACTATACTGTGGTTACTCTGAGACAAATTATCCTTAAAAATGAGAAATGACTGTATAACCATAATAATGAAAAGCATTTTCTTCTTATAGCTAAACTTTCATTTAATTGTTTTCTTTCATTGACTCTAATTCTTACAGCTTTTATTTAGGTAAGTAAAAACATTACAAATAATAAAAATTTTTTATTTGTCATTGATAGTTCAACATAAATTAAGTAAAATATTAGTTATGCTACTTAACTATTAAAAATTTCCAATTTTTCCATAAAATGACCATTTTAAAATATATAGCTTGATGGTCAAAACACGTTCAACAAAAAGAATATCCATTTACAAATATGAGAAGACTGTGGTCCCATAACTCTTTACCCCACCAAAGTGAATATGTAATTGTCAGTCCAAGAAAATCAAAGTCTATTAGAATAACATATGTTATTCTATTTAGACATATAACATATGTCTAAACAAGTGATAAGAACATTATTATTCCTCCAATTTCCTTTGGCAGCATTACTTTTGATAAAAGCTCTCCAAATTAAATGTAGATTTTTAGCAAATAGACATTTTAATCATGTTAAGATAATGTAAGGAAATGCCATGAAAGATTACTATAGTGACTGTAAATTACCAATATCCGTCCTTAAGATAATTTTGCTGAATAAAGAATTGGGGGGGGGGTGTTATTTTGGGACTTTTTCTGCCACATTGGTTGATTGGTGCTTATGAAGACAGTACAGTGTCAGTCTTGGTCACTCAGGTGCTCGCCCTCAATTCTTCCAGTTACATATTACCATCTTTAGTTTTTTTTTTTTTAAGTCCTTAACTAGTCCCTTTACTGCATGCATTATCTTCCAGGATTTTTCTGTTTTAGACTTCTTCCCTGCTACCCATGTGCTTCTGGGTAAGTAGTTAACCATATATACAGAGTTGACTTCCCTTTGCTGGTCTACTCATTTGTATCAAAGACTGGATGACACTGTTTGCTCCATCTTTGAACATTTGCCTCCACCAGGGTCCAGTTTAATACTCTTCCTTTGTAGTTATTTTGAATTCTGTGAAAATAAGCCCCACTGTATGACTACAGAAGAACACAAAGATAAACTCAGTGACAATCACCAAATAGCCTTTTCCTTCTTCTGGTTTTCTAAGAGAAACTAAGACACAAAAAGGCCTCCATCGGTCTGGGGTCACTAACTAAAGTCAGGTAGATGATCTATCTTCCCATACTGCCCCTTTCTTTACCCACTTGCTGGTCTGAGAAACAGTAAGAAAATGATAGTTTAAGCTTGATTTTATTTCTGCCATCCTCCAAACCCCACAAACTTCTTAGAAAAGGAAGCTCTTCTCTGTGGTCTAGATGTTGGAAAGTGTTTTAATAGCAGTGGCTTTAGGTTGTCAAGAGATAAAGCCATGCCATAATCCAGATTCAGTTAAGAGTTTCTGGAAATAATTCAGATGTTAGCATATGATGGTTTTCTTAACAGTTGAGGGATGAGTCCTGCTCTTGAGTCAAGCCACTGTGACTCAGAGTTCGGCTGAGGCTGCAGTGTGGCCCTCTTGAAATGAAGGTTGGATGGTGGTTGGGAGGAACTATATTGTGAACAAAGAGGGTAGAAACTAATCCAAACTACCATAAATTGACCTTGCCATAGCTAAGATTCTCCTAGGTAGTAGGTTTCAGACGGCAGATATCAGGTCGCAGGTCATCTGAGGATCTTATCGTCTGATATCTCTTGCAACTGACAGTAATAAGGGCAAACTAAATCTGGAGTAAATGCAAGGTGTTTTGATGAATCTGGCAATGTACACTGTGCTTTTGTCAGACATCAAGCAGGAAAGGCTGGAAGATTTGTTTTCTTTGTACTGACGATTTTGGTCACCATGAAGGAGAATCATTTTGGCAGGGAGTACTGAGTAGTCTGCTATAGGTTTCTCTTGAGTCCAACTGCTACCACCTGTCAGTCCATGGGGATGCCCAGCAGGTCACAACTGACATCCCATAGCCGTCTTGCTATTGTCTCATTCCGAGCCTGGGCAGAGACCCATGCCACACTGCAGTCACTGGAAATGAAAGAGAGAGGCTTAAAACACAGAGTTTAAGAATGGAATCTGTTCTCTGCCTGGAACAAGGAATGTGACAGAAAAACAACCCAGGGATGACATGCCCTCTATACACTTCATAGGGCCAGTCTTTGTCTTGCCTCTTCATTCTCCAATTCTTACCCCAGGAAAAATGTAATTACCATTTAGATCTCCTCACTATACTACCCCTGATGAGAATGCTCTGTTTGATATGTAATGCATAGCAGTAAGTCTTTATATTCTGCTCTGTGTGTGTGTGTGTGTAAATGTTTATTTATTTTGAGAGAGAGAGCAGGGGAGGTGAGAAGAGAGAGAGAGAGAGAGAATCCCAATCAGACTCCACATCACCAGCACAGAGCCCAATGCAGGACTTGAACCCATGAACTGTGAGATCATGACCTGAGCTGAAATCAAGAGCCAGATGTTCAACCAACTGAACCACCCAGGTGCCCCTATATGTATATATTTAACTATAATATCTGTGTCTGCCTGATATCTGTGTATGTCTAGCTTGTTCACACAGGACCTTGTATAGTGTCATGTTGCTGAGATTACATTGGTTACATACAGATGCTTGGAGTGGGGGAAAAAAACACCCCCAAAACTTATGATTTCTGGTCTACCAGCAATTATAACAGTTTTTATTTTTATTTTTTTTTTTTTAATTTTTTTTTTTTTTCAATGTTTATTTATTTTTGGGACAGAGACTCTGAGACAGAGCATGAACGGGGGAGGGGCAGAGAGAGAGGGAGACACAGAATCGGAAACAGGCTCCAGGCTCTGAGCCATCAGCCCAGAGCCCGACGCGGGGCTCGAACTCACAGACTGCGAGATCGTGACCTGGCTGAAGTCGGACGCCCAACCGACTGCGCCACCCAGGCGCCCCTTATAACAGTTTTTAAATAACAAGTCAAGCTGGCTTCATAAACAATGAAGACAGAAGATGATAGCATAAAAGAAATGTAACAATAAGGTAATAAGTGTTTCATATACCTTCTCTTCATTGCTGTAATCCCAATTATTTTAAGTCCCCATTAAATACAGGAGAGAGACAGGGTGCCTGGGTGGCTCAGTGGGTTAAGCATCTGACTCTTGATATTGGCTCAGGTCATGATCTCACAGTTGTGGGATTGAGCCCCACATTGGGCTCCACACTGAGCATGGAACCTGCTTAAGATTCTCTCTCCCTCTCTCTGCCCCTCTCACCCACTTGCACTCTCTCTCAAAATAAATAAACATGTAAAAAAACAAATGCAGGAGGGGTATTCAAACTCTGCACTTATCAGAAATTTTCTCAAAGACTTTTACTCATTTAAAAAAATTTTTTTTAATTTGTTAATGTTTATTTCTTTTTGACAGAGAGGCAGAGCATGAGTGGGGGAGAGGGAGACAGACACAGACAGAATTCGAAGCAGGCTCCAGGCTCCGAGCTGTCAGCACAGAGCCTGACGCAGGGCTCGAACCTACGAGCCATGAGATCATGACCTGAGCCAAAGTCGGATGCTTAACCAACTGAGCCACCCATGTGCCCCTTAAAAAATTTTTTTTAACGTTTATTTATTTTTTGAGAGAGAGAGAGAGAGACAGAGCACAAGTGGGGGGAGGGGCGGAGAGAGAGGGAGACACAGAATCTGAAGCAGGCTCCAGGCTCTGAGCTGTCGGCACAGAGTCTAATGCAGGGCTCAGACCCGCACCAGGACACCATGACCTCCGGTGAAGTTGGACGCTTAACCAGCTGAGCTATCCAGGTGCCCCCTTTTACTTATTTTTATATTTGCTGCATCTAGTACACAGCAGGCATTCAATAAAGTGATTGAGTAAATGAACTGCAATCTTTTAAGGTACATAAGAAGCAATTTTTAAAATACTATTTTAAGAAAACTGCTTCCAGGACATTCTAAGCAAATTCTGAAGATGAAAAGGAAACTTGGCAAGTCTGAAATAAGTACATGAAGCAAACTCCTAACACTACGTCCATTAAGACACTGCTAATCAAAGAGTGGGTTATGGACTAGCAGGAGCCATCATCTGGAAGCTTGTTAGCAATGCCAATTGTCCGGCCCCATCCAAACCTGCTGAATCAGAACAGGGTTGAGGCCCAGTTATCTGTTTTCAGCCACTTCCTCCAAAACACATAGAATTTTGAGAAACACCACTTAAAGGTATCTTCGAATTTACAAAACAAGGCTTCTTAGTACTTCTGTTTAAGGGAACTCACCAGCATGACCAGTACAACCTGTCACTGCTGAGTAAAAAGACCATCACCGAGAACCTAAAGGCTTTGTATGACTCTCTCAGTTGGCCTCTGTAAGCCTCTGTAGCCTCTATGTATACCTGATGTTCTCTGCAAGGTTACAATGAAGAGCAAAAGACACACGCAATGGACACAATGGAAAGTGCTGTGTGTCATAAGCTATGACATGCTCTAAAATGTATTCAAATACCACAGTAAAAGCTACTTAAGTGTTGGGGCACCTGGGTGGCTTAGTCCGTTAAGCGTCCGACTTCAGCTCAGGTCATGATCTTATGGTTCGTGGGTTCAAGCCCCATGTGGGGCTCTTCCTGCCAGTGCAGAGCCTGGAGCCTGCTTTAGATTCTGTGTCTTCCCCCCTCTCTCTCTCTGCCTCTCCCCTGCTCACACTCTTTCTCTCTGTCTCTCAAGGGTGAATAAACATTTAAAAAATTAAAAAAAAAAAAAAACTACTTAAGTGTGGTTATGCATCAGCATGGTCATGGTGCTGATATTTCCAGTAGGATTTTGGGTAGTATCAACCAGTATATGTAAAAAGACCTATATCAAAACTTAATACAAAGACTATGCTACTGGCATAAGGACAGACATAGAAATGAATAGAAAAGGGGCACGTGGGTGGCTCAGTCGGTTAAGCATCCTACTTCGGCTCAGGTCATGATCTCACAATTTGTGAGTTCGGGCCCTGCATCGGGCTCTGTGCTGTCAGTTCAGAGACTGGAGCTTGCTTCAGATTCTGTGTCTCCCTCTCTCTCTGCTCCTCCCCCACTCATGCTGTCTCTGTTTCTCAAAAAATGAATAAACGTTAAAAAATTTTTTAAGAAATGAATAGAAAAAATAAAAAAGTATAGAAGTACTCTTACATTTATGGTCAACTGATTTTTGATAAATCTGTTACGGACTGAATTATGTCCCCCCAAATCCATGTTGAATCCCTAAATCCCCAAGGTGACTATTTGGAGGAAGGCCTTTTAAGGAGATAATTAAGGTTAAATAGAGTCAAAAAGGTAGGGCTCCAATTCAATAGGACTAGTGTCCTTATAAGAGGAGACACCAGGAGTGTGCACACACAGAGTAAAAACCATGTGAGGACACATCAAGAAGGCAGCCCGGTGCAAGCCAGGAAGAAACCAGAAATCAATCTTGTTGGCACCTTGATCTTGAACTGTAAGAAAACTGTTTTCCTCTAGAACTGTATTTCTGGTATTCTGCTATTGCAGCCCAAGGAATTTGAATATAGCTACCAAGAAAATTCAATGGGAAAAGAATAATCTTTTCAACAAACAGTTCTTGGAAAACCGGATATCCACATTCAAAATGAAACAGGACCCTACCCCCATGCCATATATAAAAATTAAATGAATCATAGACTGAAATGTAATGCTCAAATTATAAAACTGTTAGAAGAAAACATAGTAATAACTCTTTGTGCCCCTCAGTTAGGCAATGGTTTCTTAGGACACCAAAAGCACAAGTGACGAAAGAAAAAAGTCAATAAATTAGACTTCCTCAAAAACTCCTCTTCTTCAAAAGACACCATAAAGAAAGTAAAAAGACAAACCAAAGAGTGGAAGAAAATATTGGTAAATCACACATCTGACAAGGGACTTGCATCCAGACTATATAAAGAATCATTACAATTAAACAATAAAAAGACAATAATCCATTTTGAAATTGGGCAAAGGATATGAATAGACATTTCTCCAACAAAGATAAACAAATATGAGCACACGAAAAGATGCTTAACATCACTAGCAAGAAAATGCAAATGAAAACCATAATGAGAAAAACTAGAAGAACATAAATAGAAAAATTACTTCATATTTATTATAATGGCTAAAACAAAGGACAGAGGGGCGCTTGGGTGGCTCAGTTGGTTAATTAAGTGTCTGACTTTGGCTTGGGTCATGATCTCATGGTTCATGAGTTTGGGCCCTGCGTTGGGCTTTGTGCTGACAGTTAGCCTGGAGCCTGCTTCAGATTCTGTGTCTCCATCTCTCTCTGCCCTCCCCCACTCACACTCTGTCTCACTCTCTCACTGCAAGGGCAGTGTATGAGGGAGAAACTGGAACCCTCATACACTACTGATGGCAACACGAAATGCTGCAGCCACTTTGGAAAACACCCTGACAATTCCTCAACAGTTAAACATGGAGTTAACATGACCCATATTCCAGTGGGATTCCATTTCTAGGTATATAAACCAAGAAAAATGTCCATACAAAAATCTGGACATGAATATTCATAGCATCATTATTCAATTAAAAAAAGTGACAACCCAAATGCCCACCAACTAATGAAGGGATAAATAAAATGTGGAACATCCACAAAATGAAATATTATTTGGCAATAAATAGGAATGATGTACTGATACATGCTTTGGCATGGATGACCTTGAACACATTTTGCAAAGTGAGAAGCCAGTCACAAAAGGCCACATATTATATGATTCTATTTATATGAAACATCCAGTACAGGCAAATCCATAGAGACAAAAGTAGGTTTGTGGTTTCAGTCAGGAAGAAAAACTAGTGCAAAGTTTCTAATGTTTCAGTCAAGACAGACTTAAGTTCATTTCTTGATAGTGGTCAACACAGCTGCTGTTGGATCTTCAAAATGCTTACAATTGAGAATCCTTGGCACTGGAAAGGCTCTTCAAAAGCCAGTTAAATATTTACTAAGTCATGAATTTGAGGCCGGCTTTCTTTAGATTACTCAGTCAAAACCTTAAAATTTCCGGGGAAGAATCCAGTCATTCATGGAAAATCATTCTAGTGTATAAAACCATATAAATTTATCTTCCTGACTTTCAGACACACATTTCCAACTATCTGCTATACATTTCTACTCCATGACTTATGGATATACACTCAACATGTATAAGGCCAGGTGTATTATAGAGGGCAACTGATCCATTCCATATTCTTTTGGCAACAGCAATCTGATTCCTTTCTGTAAAATTACCTCTTTCCCACAGTTTGGAGAGCCCATTAATCAAGTGCTGGTCTTCCCCTAACCAAGGGAGTGAGGATGTGAGGATGGAAGACCTAGTGCTTCCTTGCTAGAGAGCGGATGGTGAGCAACAAAACAAAGACTAAAGATAGTTGGCATATACTTGTTCTAGCAACAGTGCCCTGGTCAGTTGACTGGCCACTGTGTGTGTTCTAAGCCTGGCTCTTCAGTCTGCTCTTTGGACCTAGGAGAACCCCCATATTCTAATAAATTCCCTTCTTGCTTAAGTTAGCTTGAGTCTGTTTCCACTGCTTTGCAATCAGAGAACCCTAAGCTATACACATTATATTTCCATTTCTGCTGTCTCAGTTAATGTCATCATCAACCTCATAGTAAGTCAGGCTTGACCCCCAGGTCACCAACTCCTCCCCGACCTCTCATTCAATTATTCATCAAGTGGTAAAGATTCTGCCTCTTCAGGGCCTCTCTCTCTTAATCATTCTTTGCATTCCAACTGTCATTACCCTAAATCAGGAACTCATTATCTCTCACTTGGGTTATTTATCCATTCATTAAACAAAGTCAGCAGGGATGTTTCTCTGAAGCACAGAGCAGATTATTTCTCTTTCTACTGAAACAACTTCTGTGGCTCCTCTCCAGGTCTGGCATTATGGGCCTTTCATGATCTATCTACCTTTCTTTCCAATTTTAATTTATTTGCAGCCATTTCTCTAAAGTGCAAGTTATTTCCACATAATCTTGAAGAGGAGGTAAAAACATGCTAAAATTTCAATCTTATGTGATGTCTGAGACAAGTTTCAAAATAACGTGAGAGGAGGGGTGCCTGGGTAGCTCATTCGGTTAAGTATCCGACTTAAAGTCAGGTCACAGTCTCACGGTCTGTGGGTCTGAGCCCTGTGCCAGGCTCTGTGCCAACAGCTCAGAGCCTAGAGCCTGCTTCAGATTCTGTGTCTCCCTCTCTCTCTGACGCTCCCCTGCTTGTGCTCTGTCTCTCTCTCAAAAATAAATAAACATTAAAAAAATAATAATAACATGAGAGGAAAAAAATATGTGAAGGGCTGGTGGATGGGATGGGAGAATACTAGCTATGGCTTAATGGTTGTTGAGGCTGTACTGTGGGATTCAACATGCTATTTTACCTACGACTGTGTATGTTCAAAACCCTCTACAATAAAAAGTTTTAAAAGTCTTCACTTATTCAAGAACAGAGTCCATTGATACTATTTTAGTCCTGAAGACAATAGAAAAATACAAATTCTTTTTAATGTAAACAAAACAAAACAAAACAAGGAGTCCAAAAAGGAACAAAGAAAACTGGATGGACATAAGAAAAAGTAGGAAGAAAAGAAACAACCATATTAATAAAAGACGGCATGGTTGGGGCGCCTGGGTGGCGCAGTCGGTTAAGTGTCCGACTT